CAAAAGTATCCATCACAATCAACAGAAAGAAAAACATTGTATGATAAAACAATTAAAGCCATTTCTATCTATCAATCCAGCTCTACAGAGTGCACTAGAGAGAAAACTGAAGCAGCTAGCCATGCTCATGAAGACACAGAGAATAAATAATCTAAGCACAGTAAATCAAAAGGAGGATCAAAAATATAACAGGAATCAATAAACGCTGCTCCTCAATAAAAGTCAATATTAATTATCTCAATTATCCAATAAAAAGACACATACTAAAACAAGAATAGAAAACAAAATCTGTCTGTCTACTGTATCCAAGAAACACACCTCACCACCAAGGACAGATATCACCTCAGAGCAAAAGGACAGAAAAAAAAATTACAAGCAAATGGAAGAGATGTAGCAATCTTAATATCTTAAAAAATATACTCCACACCAAAACTAATTAGAATAAATAGGGAAGGAAACTATTTACTCATAGGGAAAAAATTCACCAAGAAGATGTTACAATTCTCAACATTTATGGACTAAACACAAAGGCACCCAAGTTGCTAGAACATTACTTCAGTTAAAATCACATATTGTGATAGTGGGTGACTCTAATATCTCACTCTCAAAAACAGACAAGTCATCCAAGTAGAAAAAATGTTGGAGTTAAATATTATCATAAATCAAATGGAACCAGCAGACATCTATAAAACATTCTGTCCAAAAACTATAGAATGTATTTCTTTTCAGCAGCTAATGAAACTTTCTCCAAAACTGACCACATACTAGGACACAAAGTCTCAACAGATATCGGAAAATTGAAATGACACCCCATGATCTATCTGACCACCATGGATTAAAGCTGCATATCAAGAACAGAAACAACAGCAAATACATAATCTCTAGGAAACTGAACAACTCATTATCAAATGAAAACTGGGTCAACCACATCCAAACATTAAGCAGAGCTCATGGAACCTTGCAGAAGAGGGGGTTGGAAAGATTATAGGAGCCAGAGGGCTCCAAGACACCAGGAGAACAGGACCCACAGAATCAGCTAAGCAGGTTTCATGGGGGCTCACAGAGATTGAAGCAACAATCACCAACCCTGCATGGGTCTTCACTAGGTCCTCTACATATACGGTATGGTGGTGTGGTTGTTTAGCTTGGGGTCTTTGTGGGACTCCTAAAAGGGGTAGTAGGGGAGTCTCTCCCTCTTTTTGCCTGCTCTTGGGACCCTTTTCTCTTCCTGGATTGCCTCCTCTAGCCTTGAATGAGTGTTTGTCTCCAGTTTTATTGCATCTTGTTATGCCATGCTTGCTTGATATCCCTGGAAGTCCTGCTCTTTTCTGAAGGGAAATGGAGGAACAGGGCATCTAGGGGAGAGAGAAAGTTGTGGGGTGTCCTGGGAGGGAGAGGAGGCTGCAGTACAGATGTATTAGATGAGAGAAGAATAAATAAAAAGAAAGGTGGTCAAGACAGAAATCAAGAAAGAAATTAAAACATTTTAGAATTGAATGAAAGTGAAAATACAGCATAACAAAGCCTATGAGACACACAGAAGGCATTTCTAAGTGGCAGCTTCATAGCACCAAGTGTCCGCATTAAAAACACACACACACACACACACACAAAAATGAAGAGATGTCAAATCAGTAACTTAGCAAACTACCTGAAAATTTTAGAACAACAAGAAGAAATAATACTCAAAAAAAGAGAGCAAAGAATACTCAAACTCAGGGCTTAAATCAATGAAATTGAAACAAACAAACAAAACAAAAAAATGAAAAGAATCGAATTGGTACAGGAGACGGCTTCCTGAACGTAACACCAGTAGCACAGACACTGATATCAACAATTAATAAATGGGACCTCCTAAAACTGAGAAGCTTCTCTAAGGGCAAAGGACACAGTAAACAAGACAAAATGACAGCCCCCTGATTGGGAAAAGATATTCACCAACCCCACATCTGACAGAGGGCCGATCTCCAAAATTTACAAAAGAACACAAGAAGCTGGTCTCCAAAACACCAAACAATCCAATTAAAAAGTGGGGTACAGAACTAAATAGACAATTCTCAATAGATGAATCTAAAATGGCTGAAAGACACATAAGAAAGTGTTCAATATCCTTAGCCATCAGGGAAATGCAAATCAAAACAACTCTGAAATACCATCTTACACTCTTACACCTATTAGAATGGCTAGAATCAAAAACACCAATGACAGTTTATTCTGGAGAGGATGTGGAGAAAGGGGAACACTCCTCCAATGCTGGTGGGAGTGCCAACTCATACAGCCACTTTGGAAATCTGTATGGCGATTCCTCAGGAAAATGGGAATCAGTCTACCATAAGATCCAGCAATTCCACTCTTAGGCATAATTTGACTCATATGTGGATTTTAGACATAGAGTAAAGGATTACCAGCCTACAATTCACACTGCCAGAGAAGCTAGTAAACAAGGAGGACCCTAAGAGAGACATACATGGTCCCCTGGAGAAGGGGAAAGGGACAAGATCTCCTGAGCAAATTGGGAGCATGGGGGTAGGGGAGAGGTAACTTGGGGACTGAGAAGGAGAGTAGAGGAGGGGTGAGGAGAACATGATGGGGCAGGGAGGTTGAGTTGGGAGAAGAACAGAAAAGAGCAAGATAAGAGATACTATAATAGAGGGAGACATTATAGGTTTAAAGAGAAATCAGGCACTAGGAAAATGTCCAGAGATCTACAAGGATGACACCAACTAACCATCTAAGCAACAGAGGAGAGGCTACCTTAAATGCCCTCCCCTGATAATGAGATTGATGACTAACTTAAATGCCATCCTATAGCCTTCATCCAGTAGCTGGTGGAAGTAGAAGCAGACACCTACAGCAAAATCTTGATCTGAACTGGAATCCAGTTGCAGAGAAGGAGGACTGATGAACAAAGCAGTCCAGACCAGGCTGGTGAAACCCACAGAAACAGCTGACCTGAACAAGGGAGAGCTCTTGGTCCCCAGACTGATAGCTGGGAAACCAGTATGGGACTGATCCAGACCCGCTGAATGTGGGTGTCAGTGAGGAGACCTTGGAAATCTATGGGGCCTCTTTTAATGGATCAGTATTTATCCCTAGCATAGGAATGTACTTTGGAAGCCCACATGGAGGGCTACTCCCTGAACCTAGACACAAGGGGGTTGGCCTAGGCCCTATCCCAAAGGATATGACAGACTTTGAAGACCCCCTATGGAAGGCCTCACCTCCTGGGGAGCAGAAAGGGTATGGGATAGGTAGGGTGTTAGTTGGGTGGGGGGCAGGGGAGGAGAGGAAGGAGAGGGACCTGGGATTGACATGTAAAATAATTTTCTTTCTAATAAAAAAAATAAAAGAATCTATGAAATGAAGAGCTGTTTCCCTGAAAAAACAAATCAACAACAATGACAAATGTTTAGCCAAAATAATTAAAAGATGGAGAGAGAATATCCAAATTAATCAAATTAGAGATGAAATGGAGGTATCACAACAGATGGAGGAAATCCAGAAAATCACAAGGACATACTTTAAAAATGCATATGCTGCCGGGCATTGGTGGCACATGCCTTTAATCCCAGCACTTGGGAGGGAGAGACAGCAGATCTCTGTGAGTTCAAGGCCAGCCTGGTCTACAGATCGAGATCCAGAACAGGCTCCAAAACAATACAGAGAAGCCCTGTCTCGAAAAAAAAAAAAAGCCATCAATCTGAATCAATTACTTAATATATATCATCTATTAAAGTTAAATCAAGATCAAATAAGATATTTAAATAGACCCATAAACCCTAGTGAAACAGAAGCAGTATTTCCAATCAAAGTCCAGGGCCAGATGGATTCAGTGCAGAATTCCACCAGTCTTTCAAAGAAGACCTACAGGCAGTCCTTCTTAAACTATTCCAAAGGAAGACAATGAAGAGGAGGAAGAGAAGAAAGAATGAGGAGGAAGAAGAAAAAAGAGAAACAGGAGAAGAAGAAAAGGGGGGCAGAGGAAGAAAGAAAGAGAGAGACTCTCAAACTCCTTCTATAAGGCTAGTATCACTGTAATACCAAAACCAGGTAAAGACACAACAAAAAAAGAAAGCTACAGGCCAATATACGTGATGAACATGGACTCAAAAAATACTCTAAAATACTTGCAAACAGAATACACATGTACACCAAAAAAGATTATACAGTATAACCAAAGTTGGCCTTATTTCTGAAATGCAAGGGTGGTTCAACATAAGTAAGTAGTTTTAGTTGGGGGGTGGCAGGGGAGGAGGGGAGGAAGAGGGAACTGAAATTGACATGTAAACAAACTTGTTTCTAATTAAAAATATATAGATTAGTAGTTATGGTTGATAATTAAGACTGAGTTAGCAAATAAGAAATCCTTGTCATTGTCCAGCAGTATTGTAACTAAATTACCATGTTTATTGCTGCTCTATTCATAATAGTCAGAAATTGGAAACAACCTAGAACTGATAAATGGGTAATGAAAATTGAGGTATAGTCACACAGTGGAATATTATTCAGCTGTTAAAAAGGTGAAACTAGCCTGTAAACGGATGCAGCTAGAAAAAAAAAAAAAAAAAAAAAAAAAAAAAAAAAAAAAAAAAAA